CTACTACTACTACTACTACTACTACTACTACTACTACTACTACTACTGGTTCTGGAGAACCCTGACTAATACACACACCATCAATATACTTTTTTCCATCTTGATTTTTTTTCACTTAACATTTTATTCTAGGGATCAATTTTCAGCAATACAGAGAGTTATTTTTCATTTTGATAGCTTCATAGTACTCCATAATGTGGATGTAATCCAGCTTTTCAACCAATCTCCTTCTAATGGACATTTGGGTCATTCCAGTCTTTTGCTATTACAACTAGTGTGGTAGTTACAATAATGTATTCAACATTTCCTTACTGGTGGGCATTTAAGATATCTCCAGTTTATTATTATTTTGTTTTAAAAAGTTGATGAAATAATGACCTTTGTATATAAAGATACCCGAGAATGCTAAGAGAATAGAGAGTTCCCAAAGTGAGTCACAGCGTATGTATGATATGTGTATTTTTGATTTTTAAAAATTTTCACAGAACTTGGCATATTCTTTTTTTTTTTTAAGTTACAGTAAATTACATTCCCACGGGCAATGTATGACAGTTCTTATTCCTCACATCCTCTCCAACACTGGATACTGTCACCCCTTCTAATTTTTGCTAATATGACAAGTGAAAATAAAATCTAATTGTCCTTTAAACTTGCATTCCCTGGCTACTAGTGAGATTAAGCATCTCTACATATTTAGTGGTCACTGAGATTTAGTTTCCTATGACTTGCCTACTTCTGTCATTTGCACATGACTGGGTTTTCTTTTTCATACTAGAATATAGTAAAAGATGAAACCCTTTTGACTATTTCTTGAGGTTAGAGTATGATCCGGCCCAGAAGTTTCCCTAATTTTGGTACGTTCTAACCAAATCAAAACTTAAATCTTTCCATAATCCACCCTCACCCCCAAAAAAAAGGGAAAAGAGAAAAGTGTGGTACTGCATATATGTCCATGAGGACAGGGACTTGTTCACCTGGCACATTCAAATGACTGAAGACCAGGGACCTCCCTGCATGTTCTGCTTTGCACAACCTTCCTCTAGGACTTTTATACGTCTCTGAACTGATGGAAATCCCAATAATCACAGACTGAGTTTCCTGTTGCCTCAGTAGGATGGGGCTTAGAGTCAGATTAATTTTATTTAGAAAAAATAGTGACTTTTCTTACACCCCAGAGCTTGGAGTAAAATTCATACATGCCACACATCTAAGGAAATGTTTCAAAAAATAATATTTGGGGAGGGAGGACTAGAACTAGAAGGAAAACCTTAGTCTAACTGGAAGAAGAATCCCACTCATGGATCCCAAGATAAGATTAAATAAGAAAATGTGGGCAAATTATGAGAAACCAGAATATGAGAGTATTAGGACTTAAGAAAGTTTTGACTTTGGGATGAAAGAAGTGGGGCCCCAAAGGGTTTTGTGTTCAAAAGCAACTAAGTATTTGCTATGAAATTATTTTTCATCATCTCAGCAAGAAGGGATCAGATGCAAGACTTAAACCTATGTGTATAAAACAGATTTTGCAATTTCTCAATATGGATTTTAGAAAAAGATTTGTCATCTCCCACTCCAGATCTCATCCTACACAATATACTATGAGATACACTACTCTTGACTTGTGAAATAATTGAGTTTTAGAATAATGAGGTTCTGAATATTAAAAATATAAGTATAAATTAAATAAATCAACATTAACAGCTGCTTAACAGTGATAAAATATATTTTTATTTACTTCGTTGAGTCAGAGGGTCATAAAAAAAATTATTGCTAAAGTAGATACCAGGCAAACAGAACGGCGCTTTAGAAGTCCAGTTACCTTGGAGTTTATTTAAACTAAGAGAAAAAGGTCATAATGTTTTCATGCAATACATACTTCGTTCTTTAAATAACAATTCTGACAAATAACAGAAAGAATTAAGGAATGCTGTATTTGTGATCCATACAAAACACCAACATTTTGGGTTATACATAATTTAAAGAAATGTCCCAAACACTTTTCAAAATACTGTAGTAGCCAATACATAGAGGCATGCCTTAGGTGGCCATAGGAATGCAGTTTAGAAAATAAAGAAAAAAATCACACTGTAACTACTCAAATTCTTCAAAATCACTGAACAAGAAAAGCAACAATGAACTTCCATACTGGTTTTACATAACTTCTATACAGTACCTTGACTTAAATCCAAGAGCAAAAGTTAAGCCTCTCCTCCTCTATTTTTGGTAAACAACTGCATGGTAAACTTAGATGACATTTCCCCCGGATTTTACCTGGGAGTGGCCTTTTAAATTTTTTATTTAAAAGAGGGCAGGTTTGGCACTTTTATACTGATGTCACCAATGTTAATATTTCTTGGGATCTCAGGAAGATTCATATTCTTTACAGCTGATACAGCACGGGCTGGAGCTCCCGCTAAGCCAGCCTGTATACAGAAGCAAATAAAAGAAAAAGAAAATGTACAGCTCAGGTGTAGCCCATCAAAAAACACTAAAGCTGGAGGACAATGATAAAAGAGTTTCATAAAACAAGCTTAGAGACCAGATGGTAGTTTGAATTGGTATGGAATGGTTACTTTGAAATACTAATCTATAAAGAGAAAACAGTTGACACCTTAAAAAATACAGTGAATACATGCAATGATAACAATGTAAAGATTTAAATACAAATTAACCTGTGCTACGGAAACATCACACACAATATTCAAATGACAAAGCTAGATCTTCACCTATATTTTGATTTAACTGACTTATGATATAAGCATAAAGCATATTTTACATTAGCTTCCTTATTAGACATCTCTTGCAACAACTGTGATAGATTTTGGGTTTTTGCTTTTCAACTGTCATTTATTGTTAATATATGCTGTGAAATAAAAACTGAAAGTAGTAAATCATGTTCGTTTAGTTTCTTAGGGCTAAACACTTAAAACATTTC